TCAAATAGCAACTGTGACAGCGTCAGTGCCTTAGACTATCAGGGAGTATTCAAACAGTGGAATCTAGCTCTGTTATGAAGGCTGCATGATTGCCCATTTTAAATCAATACAGTCTGCTTAGCTCTGTTGTATTCTTTTAAATACCCTAATCTATGTCACCCACTCAAAATTCAACAGAAAACACATCTTTGGTCACTGAAAATCATCTTCTAAAAACACCTCCCTTGATTTGAATATTTGCACATGATTCAGATAGCCTGGCACTCGAGAGCATGAAGGTGAATGGCCTTTTCGAAGCAGTGCAGGCTAGCTAGGACCATGGAGCCTGGACCAAATGTTTTAATAAGGACGATGGAACAATTAGCGGCCTTTTTTGAAGCAGTGCAGGCTAGCTAGGACCATGGAGCCTGGACCAAATGTTTTAATAAGGATGATGGAACAATTAGCGGCCTTTTAAGGAAGTCTATCTTTTTAATTTCATTTCAAATCACAGGAAAAAGCAGGATAGCTGGCCTAATTTACATACACATAATGTGGGTGGGTCCTTAAAAAGGAAATTTCAGGTGTTATTTGGAATGCATAAATCATTTGGGTTTACATTATATATTTTAAAGGGATATAAACAGTATTGTCCATTAGTATACAAATAATAGCACCTGGGGATTAGGTTACAACTACCAAAAGAGAAATGCTATATCTGAAAGGAGGAGAAACGTTACAAGGGAAACCTATGAGTGGCTACAACACCAAACACAGTGAAGACTCTACCTGGCCTTCAGGTAAAGACGGCTATGAATAAGAGGGTTCTAATTAGGTCAAGAGGAAAGAGAGAGAGATGTAGGCAAGATTGGTTTTCCCTTCTTGTGCTTTTCTTTTCCATTCACTCTTTCCTAATGTTGAGGCAAATAAAAATACTGAAGGGAGGGTAATGAGCTGTATCCTTTCAGATCTGGGAGAGCATGCAAAATAGAAAATAAAAATCTCCAGCATGAAAACACATCCTGGAATCACAAGTTAATGGGGCAGAACTTTCTAGATGTATTGCCATAAAATGTAAGTTTAACTACTGTGAAGGTTTATGGTGGAATGTGTAATGAAACAGCGAAATTTGGAGAAATAACAATAGCTTTGCTGGAAAAACCTTATTTCTGCAACTTCTTGTAATTTAGACTAAGTCATAGCTAGTCAGAGCTGGAAGGGGTCTTAGACATGATTTAATGATCCATTTTATAGATGAGAAAACTGAGGCCCCAAAAGAGTTAATTCAAGGTCAGTGATTAATGAGAGGCAGAGATAGGCATAGAATCCAGATGCCTATATCTCTAATTAATTCTTATCCTATTTGGTTCTGTAACAAGTGAAAAGATTAAGTTAAAGTACTAGGACAACTGGGGGCAGGTACCATTTCTGGGGACCCAGGAGGTCTAACTATTTTCCTATCAATACTAAGATGGTATTTGCCTTTTTATTCTCATTTCCTCTCATGGGTGTACAGTGGGAGACAATGACGTGCCATATGGCAACAGACTAATGTAGAAACATGAGAATCCAGCTGCTATTAAATCAGTCATTAGGGTTGCAAAAATGTAAAGTAATTCCACTCTTCTCATGAAATTTAACTTTTCCTGGAAAATATAATCTTCATAAAAATGTATTTAAATTAACAATAGTTATTATTTTGAATGAATGAATAAATCTTTAAAATTTTTCTCGTTTTAGTTTTAAAAAATATGAACTCACACAGAAAAGTTCTTTGCGATCCTCAATAATTTTAAGAGTATAAAGGGGTCCTGAGAGATCAAAATGTTTAAGGACAGCCATACTAGAACTACAAAAACAAACAAAAAAAGAACCAGAAAGAAACAATGATGACAGTGGAATTTTATAGAAACTATTCTCAATATAAAATCCCCCACTCCTTTTTTGGATCCATTTCTCACCTTCATAAGGAGCATGATTCCTACAAGATGGATGTGAGGCTTGTACCAATAATCAGTAACAACTACAGTGATAGGGTGCGGCATGGTTTCAAGTTTAGGTAGGAGCTGGATTCGAAGTTTGACTCTGCCATGTACCAGCTCTAAGAACTGGTCAGTTAAGCCTCAGTTTCCTTATCTGTATGGATGGAGACAAATGTAGCACCTACCTTCATGGAAGAGCTAGTGTAAGAATAGCACTGAGACAGTGCTTGGCACATGGCATGTGCTTAGCTTGACCATTATTAGCGTTCAAAATCCTGTGCTCTTCCAACAATACCAAACTGTTTCCCTGACACCATTCTTGATTTTTCACATGCTATATTGAAATTTAAAAAGAATCAATGTTTATTAACCCAAATTTGTATCTTTTTTCCTCTATATTTTTCATGCTCCATTACTTTGTTGTCTAACTTTGAACAAGTCATTTAAGGTCTCTGGGTCTAATTTGCGTATTGCCAAGGCAGGGTAATTCTTAATCCAGGCAGCATAGCTCAGCAATGGAGAGTGTGGCTCTGGACTGGTCTCTACTGGTTTGAATGCCAGTTCTCATTGATTGCTGGCTGCATAACCGGGGGCAAACTGCCTCATCTCCATGTGCCTTGATTTCCTTATTTGGAAAACGGAGCTAGTAACTACATCTGCCTCATAGGGTTGTTGTGAGGATAAATGAGTTAGTATACATAAAGTATTTAGGACAGTGCCAGACATGTAGGAAACACACAAAATAGTTTCCCAGCTTATTGTTATTAGCTACAAAATAAAATTACACAGATCAGTTTTTCTCCAATCTTGGTGAGAAAAATGTCTACTGCCTTGTTACTCTCTCCATAGCTGACTCCCCTCTCCCTTTTCCTCTCCTTCCCTCCAACGTTTCTGAACCACAACAAAAGCTGTGGAGACTGCTGGGAAGACTGGTCAGCGGACCACGCCAGCCTGCTCACCACCGCCACCACCATCACTTCTTTCAGTTCTCAACTCCCATAACTCCTTTTTTTCTAATTGGTCCTCAAGTGCTCTCAGGACAACCAATGATGAATACTGTGGCCTTTCCTTATGGCTTCCGAGGCAAGTGTTATCCTTTTCTGAAATGCTTTGCATTTCATTATCAAAGAAATAAAAAAAGCAATAAAATTAGACACTAACAAAACCAAGTAGCAGTGCTCTTCTAAATGAAACTGTTAAATACGAAGGAGGACAACCAAAATGACGAATAAGACAACTAACTTTTCTACCAAAGGAATAAGAGATAAAGGATAAGGAATCGGCACCAGTGATGTCATTTAACCATCCTGTGATCTTACATGCCACTCAGGAGTAGCATATGCCCCTGGTAGGAGCAAATCTGGTTTTTGTAAAGATACACACAAATGGTGTGAACCCTCAGCTCATGAAGATGAGATTTCACTTGGTCATTCATTTCAGCTTTCCTGATTTTTCCTTTCAGATGAAACCAACCAACCAACCAACCAACCAACCAACCAACCAACCAACCAACCAACCAACCAACCAACCAACCAACCAACCAACCAACCAACCAAAATACTGTATGTATTTTTCCCTGTTTAATTCCCTATCTCCTTGGTTATGGAAAAGAATCAGCTCTTCTGTAAGGATCTTACAATATGCTATACCTCACTTTTTAAAAAAGTGGGGGCAATGTGGGGATGAGCACTGCCAAGTGGAAAGAAATTCTGTGTGCTACAACCATGATATTCAGGGGTTCAAAAAATCCTTTTACAGTGGTGCGTGAGGGGCTGCTGTTTTATGTAGAGGCTCATGGAAAGCCTCTCTGAGAAGGAGATGTTTGGGCTGAGACCTGAAGGAAGTGAGGGAGCAAGCACAGGACAGCTGAGACAGTGTCCAGATAGCAATAGTAAATGCTAAGGTCCTGAGGTAGAAACGTGCTTGGTCTATGGGAGGAACGCCAAGGAGCCCAGTGTGGCTGAAACAGTATTAGGAAGGATAGAGGCAGGGGAGGAAGACAGAGAGGCGGGGGACATCAGACAGGTGTAAGGCCTTGATTTTTCTCCAGGAGAAAAATCCAGGGTTTTGGGCCGAGGAGTAATGCTTTGGGTGACTGATGTCCTGCAGAGTCCACTTGAGGAAATAACAGTGCTAGGTTGGGGGATATGGAGAAGCATAAAATGGGGTGTGGAGATGTGCTACTGTGAGACAGTGGTGCCAGTTCTCGATGTAGAGCTTGCCCACTAAGGGTGATGCAGTATACTGGCTGAGGCTGGGCAAACATTTTCAAAAGGAGAAAATTCCAAATGAGCAGTTTCATGGGATTTGGTATACAAGGACATGGAGAATGAGTGTGAGATGGACTTGGCAGGGAAATTACTCAGTCTCCTCTTTTACAGTGTAGCCATCAGAGACTCTTTCTAGGCCTCGTCTAACAATTGAGTTAAGCCTCTAGAGACAAGTTGGCAGGCACTAAAGGGTGTCCACACACAATCACTCGTGGTCCTCCCAGCAGCCTTGTGAGGTGAGCGGGACAGGCGTTCTTTCCCTCCTTTGGCAAATAAGGCCACCCGGTAGGAGAGGTTCCTGCTCCGATCACATGGCTGGCTGCTGGTGACAGCTGAGGGAGGAGGGGGCCACGGTTCTTGGTGGTGAATTCAGGTTCTTCCCACAACCTGATTCTCAGGCTACCAGTATATCAAGGCAGTCATTCCCCAACGAAGAAGATTCACACAGAAGGGGACGCAGTTGCGTCAAAGGAGACATTACTTTGGGAAAAACATCGAGGAGCCCCACTTTGCCTTGACGTTAGGGGGTTTGTTTTCTTATTACATATGATGAGTTAGTTAGTATCTTACCCTAGATTGTTTTGTGTAATGTTCTACATGAACGGTGGGAAAACATGGCTGGTGAAAAGGCACCATTTGTAAAAGTGACAGGGTGCCACTGCTTCTTTTAAAACCCAAGCACGCCTGATCTTACAGAACTTGCTCTTGTGTAAGCCATGGATCCATCTGTAAAACAGAAGGGAAGGGGAAGAAACTAAAAATTACTTACTAAATACACATCGAGCACAGAGGCATTATCGTCCTGCATTTCCAGGGCGTTTGGCTCAGAAGTCAAGTAGATGGTCCCCTCTTCCAAGGTAAATGTTGAACTGGAAGGTACCCCTTGACTGGAAAAATAAAGAAGAGGACTGATGAGCATGTGGCCTCCAGAACAAAATCCCCAGGACACCTCCAAAGTTGGGGCTAAAGAGGCCAAGGTGGCAAGCTTTATGGGTTGAAAAAAAATTGTGGGGTGTTTGAAAGAAATATGGTCACACCTGGAGGTCTGCTCACTTGAGTTTTATTTGGTTTTACTAGTAGTGAATTTCCTACTTGGGTGCATGAAACATTTCTTCACGTTTCTGAGAGGTGATTTGTGGGTCCCATGCGTTGTGAGGGAGAACTGCTGTGACTCTAGAGGCCCAGTGGTCACCTTCAACTTTGAATAGTTTGTTCTCACTGCTTATGTTCTCCTCTCACAGTATTCATGCTTTGCTAGTTTATAAAAGATCACCTTGTTTATCATTAACACTGATGATTTCTTTCTATTTTTTCTTTTTGGTAAGACATGTTGAATGACACCCATGGTTCTCAAACTTTCCTGTGTGCCTGAATCCCCTGGAGGGCTGTTTGAAACCCAGTTTCCTGGGCTCCACCTCCAGAGTTTCTGGTTCAGCTGGTCTGACGTGGAGCCCATGGGTTTGCATTTCTAGCAAGCCCCCAGGTGATGCTCATGCTACACTCTGAGTAACGATTACATAAACACAGAGCATTGTATTATGTACTCGTGAGGATAGCCTCAAGGTACCTTTAGTAACAATAAAAGCCAAAGGAATGCAGGGAGATAGTTGTATGGAAGAGTCATTTATGAAAGGAAACCACCTCGTTTTGTCATGATATTATTTTATAACCAGTGTTAACTGTTTAAGTAATTGGTCTATTTTCATAGTATTTAAATTGGGAATTAAGAGCTCAGGAATGTACTATCTTTCCCCCACTGAAATAAAAGTTAGCTATGTTTTGACCTGTGGACATTTGCCACGTGATGGTTTTGCGGGAACAAAGTCTCCGTAAACAATGGTGGAAGAGTGTGATATTGGTGTTAGTCAAGCTGGGAGAGGGCGCTGCCCATTGGCTACATGGGACAAACTTGGCAGTGGGCTGTGCGTTTTCTGGGTAGTAAGGCTTGAGCAGGAGTGCAGAAGACCTCACTCTCTCACCTTCCCCGTCACCAGGGCCTGTGCCCCTTCTGGGCTTAGCTCAGAGCTCACCCCTTCTGAACACTCCCATCTAAAGTCATCTTCTGAGTTTCCTGTCTGAGCCTCTCAGTTGGACGGGAGACCATTGAGGACATTGTGCTCCTCTGTCCTTCCCTAGTCTGGGCACTACAATAATTCTATTTCTGTACATATTTACCTATTAATTGAAGAGTTGTGAAATAGATACCTTGACCTTTCCAATATTAAAAAAAAAAAAAACTTGTCAAAAAAATGGGTGGATGTCCTTTTGCTTTTCAAAAACCTAAGATGGGTTATACAATATGGGAAACAGAGCCTGTTCCAATTGATTTTATTAAAGGGCAGAGTTAATGTGGCCTACTCCCATGGAGCTGTTGACTTTATACTGTAAACTGTCACAGATTTCTGGGTTAAGTAAACCCATCGGTTCTCAAGGGACACTGTTTTGAGAGGCGCTGTGTAGCAATAAACATTACTCAGGTTATTTTTTGGATCAAACAAGGATGCAGTTATGGGCTTTATTTGACTTTTGCCTTTCAACTGTTAAGATGCCATTCACTACTCCTGTGGGTAGAAAAAGATCCTGCCTGGTTAAGCCTTATGAGAAAGATGAATTCTTTACCTACTGAAACATCAAAACAATCACGGTGGTGAGAAGATATGTAATTGTGGCATGCCCCTTGATTTTTTTTTCTATTTTTTTGGGTTTTATGTTTTACATATAATTAAATACAATTTAAAAATATTTAATTTACATTCTTATAATTTAAAAAAAATCTCTAATGGTTCCTGGGTTATTTCGTAAACATACAATTTGATGAGATTCAAAACCGTTTTCCCCTTCTTGTCTGAGTTGTTAGTTATGATTGCTATTTATTTCCCGCCTAAGATTAAGGGTATGACCCAGAATATTCTAGAAGTGCTTTTCTTTTTAAAATTTTTTAATGGCACTACCTATAGTGTAAAATCTAAAAATAATCCTCCTCTTTCTGCTTTCCTCTTGTGATCCAGAGTTCATCTCCCTAGAAGTAAACCCACTTTGCAAGTATTTCTCAATTTAATATTTTTTACTTTTGGAAACTATGAGTAAGCTACTAGCAAGTTTAAGACAAAATATAGAAAAAAACCCAAACACCTAGAGTATTTGTCTGGATTTAACAGGTGCATTTATGAATTATTTTAGCTAAAATACAATATGATTATAGACAGGAGAAATATGCAATTTACTCAGTATCAGATGGTCAAAATTTGATAAAATCTAAATCTAACAGGCATATTTAAATAAAAATTGTTATTTACACTGTTTTTTTTTTTTTACATGTTTTAGAATAGCTTCCTATCTTAGTAAGTAGAATATTCTGAGCATTTGGGGGACAAAAATGAGAGTCATAGAAATTTGTATCAGATTATATAAAGAACTCTGATAGTGCAACAATAAAAAGGTAAATAACCCCCTTTAAAAATGGGGAAAGGATCTGAATAGACATTTCTCCAAAGAAGATATACAAATGGCCAATTAGCACATGAAAAGATGCTCAACATCATTAGTCATCAGGGAAATGTAAATCAAAACCACATGAGATAGCACTTTGTACCCAGGAGGATGGCTCTGATAAAGACAATAACAAGTGTTGGAGAAGATGTGGAGAAAAATGGAGCCCTCCTGCATTGCTGATGGGAATGTAAATTGGTACAGCTACTTTGGAAAAACAATTTCGTGGGCCCTCAAAACCATATGAGCCAGCAATTCTACTCCAAGGTATATATCCAAGAAAAATGAATATGTATATCCACACAAAAACTTGTACATGAATTTTCACCACAGCATTATTCATAATAGCCCAAAAGTGGAAGTAGTCCAGATAAATAATGCACACAATGGAATGTTATTTGGCAATAAAAAATAATGAAGTACCGATATATGCGACAATAAGGGTGAAACCTTGAAAACATTATGCTTAATGAAAGGAGTTGGCCATAGAGGACCACATATTATGTGATTTAATTTATGTGAAATGTATAGAATAGGCAATTCTATAGAGAGAGCGAGCAGATTAGTGGCTGCTAGGGGCAGGGATAAGGGGAATAGAGAGAGATTTAGGTATGGGGTTTCTTTTTGGGGGTGTTGAAAACGTTCTAAAATTAGATTCTGGTGATAGTTATGTAACTCTGGAGATATATTAAAAACCACAAAACTGTATACTTTATTTTTTATTTATTTATTTTTTTTTATTGGGGGGATGGGAACAGTGATGGGGAATTGGGGGAAGGGGAACAGACAAGTTGCTGTCGTCTTGTTCTTCAATCTAGTTGTGGAGGATGTTGCTTCACTGGCCCAAGTTGGCACCATCATGCGCTCTTC